TTGAAGAGGTGTTTGGCTCCTGCTTGATCCACTTGGTTAGACCGCTGTTCCATAATTGTTTTATCTATTGTTACCTTTAATTACGTCTTCAACTAACTGCTGATTTCTGTCTGAAGACACCTTATGGTTGTGGTCCAGTAGATTCCCCCATTCATTATAAGAAGCGAGATGTTTAGAACTGCTGAGGCCCAGTATACTGTAGTCCACAAAAAGCCCCTGGCTTTAAGGGGTTTCCCTATCAGCTACAGTAATTTTAACGGCTTATATCATGCAAAATCATTTTCTTTTGCTTCTAACAATGTTATAAAGTTATTTCCTTATCGCACTCATCCCTAAAATGCTATTTTGCTTGATTTATGCATGTTTGAGTAATCCTTATGAATCCTGCCCTGTAAAAAGGCAAACAACCCCTACTGTTTAATGTGGGACAGTGATAACCATCCCTCCAGGAAGCACCGGCATTGACTGGGCTGCGCCTGTCCAGAAGACCACGATCCCAGTTAATATGATATAATAATGTAAATCTTACACACGTATACAAAGTATGCAACAAGATGTCTTCTTGAACATGACAGAATATACGTCCTATGAACATCTGAACACTGTTGAATACTCTTGAGTTGATAAAAACTTCTCTTTTGTAAAGTTACTTGTGATTATTCTCTCAGTCTAAATGAAATAGATTCAGAGATTGCAGAAAATATTACACAAGCTACGCATTGAATGCACTAAAGCTTAAATGCTTTTATTTAGTTAGCTAAATAGAATAGCAATGATCAAAAATCGGTTATCAAAAGTGCTATTTATTTTTCTGGTTTTTTTTTTTTTCAGAACAAAACTTAACTTTGTAATTATCTTAGTATTGAATAAAGGAAGTTTTATATTTTGAGCTAAATTTGGCCTACCATAAATATCTCTTCTCAGCTGTAACCTGTCACTATATTGTCACTAAATTTAGATACAATTTGTACAGAATATTACCTAAAAAGTAGGTTTTATTTGCCCCTAATTATGTTTTCCAAATTGTTTTTCAATGATCCCCTTAAATCCTATTATTAATCTCATGTACTGATATTTGGTTAGAATTTTAGGTGTCCAAAAGTCATAAAAATGTATGTTTCCCTACAATAAATTTTTGATTAGTTTTATTATTAAAATAGTTATTGTAATAGATTTAGTTTTGCGTCTAGCAGTAAACTGATCAGCTTTAAATCCATGGTACATTTAACCAGTTTTAAAATGCTCTCGTCAATAAACATGTGATTCAGAGGTTTGTTGTGTAAATTATTTAAGCTATTAGATTTTCACAAAGGAACATTTTGCTTTGAAAATTGAATATAAGAATAGTGGTATGCCACCCTTGAATGCGCTCCATGGTCATATCTAATGGGTTTTATATCAAACTAGAGATGGAAATGTTGGTAGTGATGTACTTTACCAAGATGTCATTCAACAAGTTTGCAGATCAATGTTTGTCTGTGTACAATGTGGACATCGACGTCCACAACATACACTTGTCGTCACATTTTTGCAACACATCTGCCAGCTAAGATGAGACTTGACAGATCAGAAACTGTTTTAAACTCTAGAAATTATTTTGCAAAGCAAAAGGTGCTCTGCCAGCAAACCAGGCTGCTTTACACATAAACTATTCTGCTGTTCCTGGCCTCATAAATGCTCTTCTTCCTTCTCGTGCAGCCCCCACAGCTATAAACAGACCTATATATGTCGTTTCTATTTAGAACGTATAATGTGCAATAATACAGAGTTGCATTTAAATTCCATAGATATGCACGCCCGGGCAGATACATTCATTTAGTCGCAGTGACGGATTTGCGTGCATCTTGACTGTTTACTCTGTGTCCTCTGGGACTGCTTGGTATTCTACCCGCTTTACAGCTCTCCACCACTATTTGATGGTCACTTTAACCGGCATCATCTAAAATTTATTGACCTGCTCTGCTGAGAGTTTAATGTGGGGGTCTTCGTTGGGGTTAAGCTATTGGAGGTTAGCAGAGAGTAATGCTTTGGCAGCAGCAATTTAACTGATCTCTTGAGGTTTTCTCACTCTGTGAGTTAGCTGAGAAGCTCTCCTTTTCATCCTGCTTCAAAGCACAGTTGCATGCCAACTTAACAGACCTTTTAGATTTTTATTAAAAGATATTGTGTAGATTTAAGTTAATAGACTGTCCATTTGTTGTTATAACCTTTTAAAACATTTTATTTAAAACCAGTCACCAGATTTTTGCAGTGTCTAATCCAACCAGATATTTAATAGAGTCCTCTCTAAAACTCTTAGATAATAGGCTTGGAATTCTTCTGTATGTCTTTAAATCACTGAATGATTACTGACTTGTCATCGTTGTATCGCCCTCCAAGCCTCTCAGGTCTTCTGGCTCAGTTCTACCCTACAGACCCAGACCCAGAACCAAACATGGTGAAATAGCTTTTAATTCTTATGCTTTATTAATCTTAATGAAAAAAAGGCCAGAAAATATGACGAAACCCTAAATTGCATAAGATTAAAAATTCATTCGTTAAGATCAGCTTTTGACTTTAAACCTAATGAGGTATGTAATCCAACTTTTCTGTTGCAATATATATTTTCCCTGTGTGTTTTCCAATTATGTAAAGCACTCTAATTGTCTTGCATGTCTGACATTTGCTATAGAGATGAACATGTCTTTACCGGTACTTGCTTTGCTTTCTTAGAGTTCACTGCAGAACGTATTATGGGCATCCTAGTGCTTTCTAGCACTAACCAAGCCTTAGCGTCCTTTGAGATTTGCTGTGCTGTATTTCTAACTTTTTCTTGAATAATATTCCTTGAAAAGTATCGCAACTCCTACTTAAGTAAAATCTCACACTACTCTGTCCTCTGAGTAATTTGAACTATTCCAAAATCAGGTAAACAGTCAGTAAACAGTAGATATTAACAGTGGGAGTTTGTACCCTCTCCTAACATATATACAGTTCTCATTGTAAGGAAGTTTTATGTTGTGAAAAAACATTGATAAAAGCATTTCTTCTGTAGGAATTTCTTTCTTGTGTAATCATGACATTTATTTGTATTCTTTAGGCATTTGAGTCTTTAAAATACCAGAACTTGCACATAAAATCGGTTTGCCAGCAACATTTATAAACAATAAATTTGATTTTATTATCCAACAGTTACTCGGTACTTCAATAGACTTCTAACCAAATATCTTTTAATTTTACTTGAGCAATTTTATGGGTGACTACTTTTTACAACCTCTGCTGATAAGTAATGTTTCACTGATGCACAGAACAGAATCCTGCAGCCTCTTTGGGTCGAATATTGCATTGACCAAGTTGGAGCTGACTTTCTTGGAGTTTAGAAAGTAAACTCTTCAGTGTTAAATATTGGGCTGAAACCTAAGTGTTTGCTGCCATGAAATTGTGCCTTTTGCAGCCAGTTGATAGTTTATGACCATCTGTCTCATCAAGAAACTGCTGGGCAGCTGTTAACAGCTTCATCTTCTTGCCATGTTCAGGTATTATAGCCACTGTTGGTTATTACTTTAAATTCTGAGTGATATACATCTAGCTGTATCTCTGGAACTATTCAGGGCCTTTGCTTACATTTGTCTATTTTCTCCTTGTTTTCGGCAAGGCAGTGATCACATTTCTAAACTTACGGGAATGTTGCATCGCCTTATCTATATTTTCTTCATGAAGTGAAATCTAATGTAAGTATTTGAGCTGTAGTAAAGCTGCACCCCTAATGAAGCCATGAATGGTTGCACTGGTTGTGTCTAAGATCAGGTACTGTATTCTCATTATTCAAATGGTAATTTGGTGAAGCTTGTTAGGTTATGCCATGGTGTTGTTTTATATTATGCATTAAATATCAGTGCAGATTTTTTAGCAAAGTTTTTCAGTTTATAAAAACAGGAATGCATACTATCTGTTTTCATTGCATTTTTGTGCATATTTTACAACATACAATTTTTTTCTCTCTTTCAAAATGTGCTTTCTTTTACCATAAAGAACTTTTCTGGTTTGAACATAAAACAGAAATACAGACGTTCTGTGTTATTATAGCGTTATCATGGATTGGGGCTGGAAAAAAGTGTTTTCATGAGTGCTAGCCTTGCATGGCCCATGACTCAGCATTTCTTGTGGTAATTGATGTGAACTTGCAACTTCATCCTACGGCAATTATTAGAAAAACACGGGGGAATTAACACCAACGGCGTACAAATGCCTTCCAATCACAAGCTGCCTCAAAGAAGGGATTAGTGTGGAAGCTGGACAGCTACAGTATATGGCCATTATGGTCCGATCTGGCAACCATGTCAAGGGTTATGACTTTAATCCTCTGCTTGTTATAAATTATGTCAGATTGCAATTTCAAGAAAACTGCTTTTAATTCTCAATAATTCAGAAATTTAGGATTGTTTTATTACTGAACCGCCTCCAAAAACTGTTTTAATTGTGTAATCTTCATTCAATGATATACAACCTATAATTATTTATGTTGTATGGTGTTTGTACTTTTTATGTATCAAAGTGTTTTGTTTTTTATTTGAGTTTACACTGTACAGCTAATTTAAAATATAAATACAATGTAGACAACACTTTTCTATCATCTGGTCTGCATCTGTTAACTATAAACACTATAAATGTAGGTAATGTAATCTAATGTAATGTAGGTAACTGTAAAAATACAGTTACCTACATTACATTACAGTTACAGTCATATACATTTCTCAGCAATCTAAGTTTAATAGCGAAAACCTGATATTATTTTGTAACTTCCGGTCTCATTTTAAGTTTTCTGTTTCAGTCCAGTCAGCACTGACAGCTTTCTTTTTTTTTTCAATAAATGGTTTTATAACTTTTGATGCTGTATCATTAAGCCACCACAAGAGGGCTAGTGTCCTGCTTAAAGATTTATTTAGCTTTTTTTATAATATAAACATAAAAATATTGCAGACTTTGACCTGCTATTTCTTCTTTTCTTTTCCTTCTTTCAGTTAAACAGGCCAGGAATCTGATTCCTATGGACCCCAATGGTCTGTCAGACCCCTACGTGAAGCTGAAGTTGGTCCCAGACCCACGCAGTGAGAGCAAACAGAAGACCAAGACTATGAAGTGTAACCTAAACCCCGTATGGAATGAGACCTTCAAATTGTAAGGATGTTTAAAACATTCCCAATTCTTTAATATATGTCAATCTGTACTCTTTTTTTTTTTTTCTTCACCGTTTTCCTATTTCTTGCTTCTCCTATGCATGTGTGATGGCCAGGACTCAGAAGAAAACATCTGGCTTCCTGTATTTTATAAAATCTTGCTCTTGGGGTTGTTTTGCTGCTGCTGCATCTTTAATAACCCTCATGATGATTAGTGCAGGAGAAGAAAAGATTGATAACTGCAGGCATTTCTTTGCAGATGTTCAGGCATTCAGGAGCATTTTGCATCGTTCTAGTCACAAAAATGTAAGATAGAGTAACATTGCACTTTAATGGGCTTGATCCTGTATTAATTGTGGTTAAACATAAACATAAAACAGTTATGTTGGACCAAGATTCTTAAACTGTGGCACAACTCTAACTCATGGTGCTTAGGCTGCTGTTAGAGGCACTTTAGTTTAAACTATACAGTGTTTCTGTAAAGAAATGACCTGTGACGTAGATCTAACAGGGACAATCTATCAGGATCTCTAAGACTGTAAATATGTTGAAATCTGTTTTTTCATTCCCTCTAGATAACGTTTGTCTTCTTTTGCTCCAATTCTTTTCACCCCCTGTGTTGTTTCTGTGTTTGGCTTACTGCACTTTTTATTTTTTTTTTTAGCATTAACTTTTTGATGTTTTGTTCATATATATTTCATAATTGACTCGGCTCCCTGTGTTGTCTGTCTTTTTTCCCAGAGCACAAGTTTTTATCCATTAATGATTCATGTCACGTTCTTTCAAAACCGTTTCTAATTTCTTATGTAGATGATAATAACCTTAACAAAAGAAACTCATATAAGCTCTAAAGCATGTTGGTGTAAGAGTCATGGTTTGGAATGTTTTACTGTAACATGTTAAAATAACTAACACATGTGAGCATTTTTTTTTTTTGTTACAAAATGTAATATTTAATTGACATTCTATTTTTTTCCCCACATCAATACAAATCTCAATCAGGTGTGAAGGGCGGAGTCTCACTTGCTTACAGCTACGTTTACGAGCGCAAAGTTTCACTGATCCGATCTAAACTTGGTTAATCGAAAAATTCTAAATCTCTGTTTTTATGGACACAAAAAAAAAGATCCGTTAATGTGTGTAAAGAAGAACCAAGATTTAGATCAGATTAAATAATTTAAGCATATACGAAGCTCTCAAATTTTCTGGAAAAGTGGCAAAAAAACCGATCACACTGAAGTTGCACAGATGCGCAGTGGAGATTATTTGACTCCAAAGGTCCGGCTTGTTGTGTACATGGACCCCAATGGGAACGCCTTTTGGAGTGACATTTTTTTCCAATTACAAAGAATCGTTTTAAAATCTTCAGTCTGACGGGTGTAAAAGAAACATTTTTGATCAGATCAGGCCTTCAATTTGTATAAACATAGCTAATGTCTCAGTTGACTGAAAATTAACCAAAATACAACAAAAAACTCTGCCTTTCTCGTTGTCTTTGACATATCACACCAAACAAAATAATGTTTTAAAATGTCTGTCAAGATGGTGATACCTTTCAAACAGGTTTATTAGGATGGCACTTGTTGTAAAAGGCGATTTCTGGACTCACAGATTTCCCCTCATGTCTCTTCCAGCCACCTGAAGGAGTATGATAAGGACCGCCGCCTGTCGGTGGAGGTGTGGGACTGGGACCTGACCAGCCGCAACGACTTTATGGGATCGCTGTCCTTTGGCATTTCAGAGCTTCAGAAACAAGGGGTGGATGGCTGGTAAGAGAAAGCTGAACAAATGGAGTAGAGAATGGTAAGACTTGAGTTGGAGACCAAGGAGGAGCAGGAAGGAGAGTAAAGGTGACCTTGTTCATTACTGTAGCCTAGGAGCACAAACTTTATTTGGAGCTCCTCTCCCTAATCTGGTTATATTCAGTGCCAGAGCTGCTCTTCCCCCATCTTTTTATCTCTGCTTCTTTATCTCCCCTCCACCCTCGCTCACACTTCTACTTCCCTCCCTGTGTGTCTGCAGCCCAATCACTATCTCTCTAAATCTTCCTCTTTTTTTTTGCTGACACTGCTCTGTCAGGGTTTTTAATGAGATGCCAGCTTTTGAGGTGGGAGGATGTCTTAGTACACCTGATATTCAGAGTGTGCCTTTTAAAATGCAGGTGTTACCTAATCCACCTCAGTACAGTCCTAAATACTTTCTGGCATAACACGAACAGGACAGACACAGACTAAGAGAAATAAATTGAGAAAGACCCTATGTTTGGATTTTTTACTGCTGTAATATAAATGCTAGCTGTAGATACCTCTTTAACTAGGAGTTAGGTTTAATATTTAGCATTTCATTGGGCTCTTAGATACAAAAGAACAGGCATCATCTGTCACCGCAGGGAACATTTATCTGATTTCAGGTTGCTGAAGGTAAATCTGTGTCAATAAACCGATTTATGTTAGATTAAAGCCATGTGCTGGTGGTCTGCTGTGTGGTTTGTGATGTAGTTGGAGCAATTTCATTTGTTATGGGCTAAATTATACTGTTATTCCTTTAATTTCACAGTTATTTGTGTGTTTTCAGTCGTGGCCATCAAATATTTAGCTGTTAAAATCTCTTCATTTTAGGTTTAAGCTCCTTTCTCAGGAAGAAGGCGAATACTTCAATGTTCCCGTGGCTCCGGAGGGAGAGGAGGGCAACGAGGAGCTACGGCAGAAATTTGAGGTGTGTGTGCCTGCCTGCGTTTGAATGTGTCGAATGTTTGGGCATGTGTGTGAGCAGTTGGCTTCGGCCACCATGTGTGTGTGTGTGTGAGTGAGAGCCACTCTTGGAGAGCTGTTAGCAGTTGGCAGGCACACTTACAGCACCATCCGGTCTGGCACACGGCAGGCCCAGACGTGTTTGTCCATGCGTGTGTATGTGGAGGGGGGGCTGACCAGTAGGTCCATTCATTAACACATTTGGCAGTGATAGGGATCACCCCAAACTGTGTTTTTTTTTTTTTTTTTCTCCCTTCCTTCTTCCTTTCTCTGTTTGTGTCACACTGAGTCAAATGCTGCAAAGAGGAGACTCATTCAAAAAGTGTGTCAGAGTTGCAGTTTGCAATATTTTAGGGGGATGCAATGTGGATAATGCAACAAAGCACTTCCTAAATGATGCACTCACTGCAGTTTCCTGTTCGGATCCTGCACCTTCGGTGTTCCTGTGATGATTTCTTCTGTCCATCTGTTGGCTGTTTAGTCCTCTGATTCCCTTCTCCCATGTGTGTTTCCAACCCTTTATATCTTGTAGCCAACCCCTACCCTTTTTTTTAAGGCCACAGTTCTGTGTCTTGGTGGAAGTATACACTCAATAAATACACTCAAAAACATGTACTAATGATACCTCTAAAGTGAATTTCTAGAGGTAAGGAAAGGAAAAGAAGGAGAGAGAAATAAGATGATTTAATATATCACTTTAGGTACATAAGATGCATGCCCCATATCACATCTGCCTAAACCACACATTCTCCATAAAATTAACGCACATGGACTCTGAATTAAACAAATGTTTAGTTCGTGCATGATCGGACTAGAAAATACCTTATATCCTCTTTAGACGTACTTTAGGCGCACTTTGTCCCGTATTACTGTGAGAGTAAAAAATTATCAGTAAACAGCTAATAGAAAATGAAGAACAAGGGCACATTAGATAGAAAACTTACGGTAAACTTGTTTCCAAGGCCTGTCCTGCGTTGTGACCAATGAGCTGAAATCATATAATTAAAGATCCAGAATACCCTCATCCCATTGGTCGAGCCAAATGTTGCTCATGGAGAAGATAGCGGGAGACAACAGAGCACTCAGCTTTACTCTGCAGCTCTAAACAAACAAATTCCAAACAGTTCCTCATTGCTGCAAGAGCTCTGAGGAAATACAAGTGGAAAAGTAGGCTATCGCCACATAATGTGGCATTGAGCTAATGATTTTATTTTCTGCTTTACAACTACCCTACAGTCATTACATTTAAGGCACGAATATCTTTATGAGTTTTCTGTTGCACAAAATAATTTTGCAATTATTTATTCATTGTTTTATATTCATTTTTACAATTATAAGTTAAGCAGGACAGGCTTATGTTTAAGTTACTTATTTTATTCAGCAGAGTTTGTTATTATGTATTAAATTGAATTGCTGGATAATAATTTGTTTTCCATGTGTTCATGTCACTCGCAAATATGCATCTAATTCAATGCAGATTTGAGTCAAATAGTAAAAAAAAAAAAAAAAAAAATTCACAGACAAAGGGGGGCTAAAAAATATCTCCACACCAGGAGGGGTTAAGGCAATCAGGTCAGCTGGCACTAAAAAATTTTTTTCAGGGAGTTGGCTACCCTACCCTTGTTCTTGGCTCTCAGTTACAGGTTAAAATTAACATGTTTCCTTATTGTACAGACAGAATCAGACTGCAGAGCTTCTACATATCTTGAAATTTTGTTTTTTCCTTTACTTTGCTTGTGCAATTTGAGGAGTATTGAACTACTATAGAAATTCTCTTCAATCTAATAAAAGCTGAATAGAGTATCTCTGTTTTGCTTTCCGTTAAAAACATGTTAATTCAGATTTTTGTTTTGTCTTTGTTCTCCATCCAGAGAGCTAAAATTGCAGTAGGCAAGAACATGGAAGGAAAGTCAGCAAATGCAGCCTCCAGGTTCGACAACAACGGCAACCAGGATCGCATAAGGCTGTCGGACTTTAACTTCCTGATGGTGCTGGGCAAGGGCAGCTTTGGCAAGGTGAGAGCAATGTGTTCTCGTTTTTACATACTTTCATGATTTTTTTCTCTGCCTAGTGCTGTTAAGCATGCATTTTTTGCTTTGTTTTTTAGCAATGTCCATGGTAAACAAAAATTTACTATATAAAATTATGGATTTCATCTAATATGCTTCTGAATAACATATCAAATGCAAGACAACAGTCATGCATATATACGACGTCATGGGACCTCATGGGGTTTTAGATTTTTAGATCTAGAAACAAAAGATAAAAGTCCAAAAAATGGACAAGAAAATGGAACTGGATGCAGAGGGGATGAGGGAAGATTAAGCACAGGTAGATAGAAATGGATGAAGGGAAGGAGGCAAAGAGGAGGACATGACAAGTAGTGAAAGTGATGAAAGGCGTGGGAGACGGCGATGAGATTTGAGGTGACAAGGCTGACATGAATGAATTGAGAGAGAGAGGTAAAAATGTCAGGGTGAATGAAAAGCAAGTCAGTGAGCTAGGTGTGGGGGGGCCTTGGAGATGGGGAGAGGGGAGCATAAAAGAATGAATGGAAAATGAGGCAAAAGGCAAAGAAATAGGATGCAACGGAAGAGAGGAAGTGCAAAGAAGAGAGGAGGATTTGGGGAAAAGAGGAGTCAAAGATGAATGGAGCGTGTGGGGGGGTTGGAGAAAGACTGAAAGTGACTTATAGAGCACAACAGAGAGAGGGAGAAGAAAAAAAAACACCATTGTCTGTGTCAGACCTGTACAGCAACTCCTTGTTTCCATGGTAACAGGGATTTAAAGCTACTCGGATGCGTCACAATGGAAAGCCTCATTCATTATAAGAGTCGTCATTAGCAGAGTACCTGACTCACATGTTTAGGGCATAAATAAAAAAAGAATACCTAAAGCATACATTTTTATTTAGCAGACACATGAACCGAATGCAGGAGCACGCCCTCATGTGATGCTGCTCATTTCAAGGATTTCTGGATCTATGTGGGAGGCTGAGGCTGAAACCCTCAAAGCTGTTTTTTTTTTACAGGTGCTGGTCATAAAATTAGAATATCATGAAAAAGTAGATTGATTTCAGTAATTCCATTTAAAAAGTGAAACTTGTATATTATATTCATACATTACATACAAACTCATATATTTCAGATGTTTATTTTGTTTAATTTTGATGATTACAAATGACAACAAATGAAAATCTCAAATTCATCATATCAGAAAATTAGAATATTACTGAAGACCAATAAAAACAAAGGATTTATAGAAATGTTGGCCAACTGAAAAGTATGAACATGAAAAGTATGAGCATGTACAGCACTCAGTATTTAGTTGGGCCTCCTTTGGCCTGTATTACTGCAGCAATGCGGCGTGGCATGGAGTCGATCAGTCTGTGGCACTGCTCAGGTGTTATGATAGCCCAGGTTGCTCTAATAGTGGCTTTTAGCTCTTCTGAATTGTTGGGTCTGGTGTATTGCATCTTCTTCTTCACAATACCCCATAGATTTTCTATGGGGTTAAGGTCAGGAGAGTTTGCTGGCCAATTAAGAACAGGGATACCATGGTCCTTCAACCAGGTACTGGTAGCTTTGGCACTGTGTGCAGGTGCCAAGTCCTGTTGGAAAATGAAATCTGCATCTCCAAAAAGTTGGTCAGCTGCAGGAAGCATGAAGTGCTCTAAAACTTCCTGGTATGTGGCTGCGTTGACCCTGGACCTCAGAAAACACAATGGACCAACACCAGCAGATGACATGGCACCCCAAACCATCACTGACTGTGGAAACTTTACACTGGACTTCAAGCAACGTGGATGAAGTGCCTCTCTTCTTTTCCTCCAGACTCTGGGACCTTGATTTCCAAAGGAAATGCAAAATTTACTTTCATCAGAGAACATGACTTTGGACCACTCACCAGCAGTCCAGTCCTGTTTCTCTTTAGCCCAGGCAAGACGCTTCTGACGCTGTCTGTGGTTCAAGAGTGGCTTGACACAAGGAATGCGACAGCAGAAACCCATGTCTTTCATACGTCTGTGTGTGGTGGTTCTTGAAGCACTCACTCCAGCTGCAGTCCACTCTTTGTGAATCTCCCCCACATTTTTGAATGGGTTTTGTTTCACAATCCTCTCCAGGGTGCGGTTATCTCTCTTGCTTGTACACTTTTTTCGACCACATCTTTTCCTTCCCTTCGCCTCTCTATTAATGTGCTTGGACACTGAGCTCTGTGAACAGCCAGCCTCTTTAGCGATGACCTTTTGTGTCTTGCCCTCCTTGTGCAAGGTGTCGATGGTCGTCTTTTGGACAACTGTCAAGTCAGCAGTCTTCCCCATGATTGTGTAGCCTATAGAACTAGACTGAAAGACCATTTAAAGGCTTTTGCAGGTGGTTTGAGTTAATTAGCTGATTAGAGTGTGGCACCAGGGGCCATCAATTTTGAACCTTTTCACAATATTCTAATTTTATGATATGATGAATTTGAGATTTTCATTTGTTGTCATTTGTAATCATCAAAATTAAACAAAATAAACATCTGAAATATATGAGTTTGTATGTAATGTATGAATATAATATACAAGTTTCACTTTTTAAATGGAATTACTGAAATCAATCTACTTTTTCATGATATTCTAATTTAATGACCAGCACCTGTATGTAGCCGAGAATCTGAGGCCTTGTTCATTACAATTCTACTGTTTTCAGTTCTCTGAGGACATTCCTACAATGTGATTTAGAGCAAATGCTCACATATCTTATGGGCCGGAACGGCAAAGGCCATGTGTTATTTTTTTTCATCTGCTTCTGGCCTTTACCAAACTATTATGTGCCAGTGTAGCAGAACATAACAAAGATGTGTTTGACCTTATTTGTAGGGCTTCAGATATTAAGTATTTTAGTATTTGAGTTGCCGCACAGTACATTGAACCATTATTGTCATTGTCAAGAGTTTGAGTTTTCAATGTCAAAGTTCTGCTTTGATATAAGGTTTTGGTAAATAAAGCTCACACTATTTATAAAAATAATATCTATTAAAGGAATATTTTAGATCCCATAAAAGTACATTAGCATGCAGATTAAAAATGATTTCCAATCTAATACCACATCAGTTATTGGATCAGATGTTGGGCTAAAGTCACTGATCATTTACCAATCCAGACTACATATTCCTGTAAATTATATTGTAACTCAGATTACTCTGGATGTTTATTCTAAAACTGTTAGAAAACTAAACAGAAAATGCACATTTTGCATGGGTTTTCTTATATAAAATTATTTATTTTACAGAAGCAAGGCTTAACTTATTTGGTATTTAAGTGCTGAATATGATAGCAAATAGTAGATATTATTAGTTATGTAACTATGGTTACAACTTAAAAAGCAACAAGTATTTTGGTTCCCAGAGTTTCTTTAACCCAGTTAGCTGTCCTGTCCTAAACCAGAAATCTTTGGAGCATTTTAACTGTCTCTATCCTTTCTACCAACACCTGCTATAGATAATCTTTTTCTATAGTTCTAAAGCTATGTATGGCAATCGGCTCACATTCTTTGATAATAACTTGGAGACACCAGCATCCACTATTACAATCATTTTTCAACACGTATAATGAAACTTCCATCTCTCCTTTGGCTTTGCGTCGGTGCTTGTATTTAAATAGAAATCAGTGTAACAATATTTAAATCATTTATTTAAATACCTTTCCACCCAATGTCCTCTTTACAAAAACAGCCATCTTAGTCTTGCTCACCTTTGTCTGCAAGGCTTCGATGTTGAGATGACTCAAATATTTTCAGTGTTCTTTTGTGACTATTATCTCTGTACTACTGAATAAGTATAGGAGCAGGCGCATAGCCTTTCACACCTAAGGTATTCTACCTCTATAATGGAATTGCAGAGCTCATGTATCTGTAACCATGGCAAGTTTATACTTATGCAGTAGTTTTAACAAACATGCAATCAAAATTGTATGTATTCGAATACCCAGGCCCTTTTTTATAAGTAATCCCTGGCTTCTTCTATTGCTATGTGTAAATGTAAAGTCCTGTTTTACCAGGTTTCTTTTGAAATTGGGAAGAGGACATCTGAGTTATGCAGATGTATGCATTTACTCATAAATAAAGAAAGACTCCAAAAAGGCATCTACTCTTTTTTTTTTTTTTCTTACTTACAGCCGGAGCAATTTAAAACAACTTGAACTGTGACAAATAGACTGGATGAAATTGGACTGCAGATTTGACTGTGTGAGACTGTGTGCTACTGCAATAAAGTATGAAGTTAATGCTTTCTAGAAACGTTTACCAAGAGTGCCAATAAAAATGGGTGCTATAAATAACTTTCAAAGCCTGTTACAAATCAGTGCATTAAGATTCTCTCTCAGAGCTACTGGACTCTTATTCTCTGTTTTTTGGGGACTGTTCTGCATCCACATTTAACAAGTACAAATTTTTTTTTGTGTGTGTGGTGGGGGGGGGGGGGGGGGGGGCATGCTGTATGTGAACACATGCCCAACAATAAATGAAAGTATGAATCAAGCTGAAATCATGATCAAACAAGTAACTCTGCGCATATATAGAATAGATACAATACGCCAGTGATTGTAAACCGGATGTATCCCCTAGTGGTACGGAAGTGCATTGCAAGGGGCACATGAAAATATTTTATTTCTTAGGTAGTAAATAAAAAATATGTGGGGGTCGACAATGCTTTTGACTGAAAGGGTAACTCATGGTAATGTAAAATGCCCAAAAAGGGTACACAAGTCAAAAAAGGTTGGGAAACACTGCAGTACACCACAACTTCTTTTGAAAATATAAGAAATGTATTAACAAAAGCCCAAATTATTTATCCAAAAACTCTTTTCAAAGATCTACTCCTCTCTGATTTGGAAAAGGCTGAGTTGTCTACAGTATTCGGCACTTTAGCATGTCCAGTATGCAGAAAGAAAGCTGTCCTTTCTTCTTAAATGCTCCAGTCTCTGGCATCACAACGTTTCTTCTTAACCTAGAGAGAAACGTTGCAGAGGGTCTGT